ACAAGCTTTTGTCATAGTTCGCTCTGTGGAATAAACGAGCTTAATCAGGCATATGCTGATGATTGGTATGAAGGACTGTAATTTCGAGTTTCCTCATAGAGGCACGGACCAGCCCAAGCACCACAGCCAAGCGAGGTCATTCTCGAACACTGGAACTCTCTAAAGTATGACTTAAGGAATAGAAACCGGTCTCTTTCAACTATATAAGCATCTGTAATACGGTATTGTAGCAATATTGCAGCATGGCCTCTTAATTGTATCGTCTCTTGTGTGAATTTTGTGCATGTTAAAGATGCTGGACGCTTGAAGCTAAGTTATATTGTTTGAGTCAGCTTCAATCTTTGCGAAACTCTTCGCCAATACAGGCCCTCACAAAAGTGCCTGACATACTTTGAGTCATACCTTCTTAAACAACCGAGCTCAACATCCACCAAAGCATTACTATTAACGTTATTATTATTATTGGCAGTAATATTATTGGTAATAAGTTACAATTTGAAAGGGTTCTTATAAATTGTTCTGCCGCAGACGAACTTTAAGAGGTAAATTAAATGTTAATATTGGCAAATCTTTCATTTCGTCTGAGAAAAAGATTCGTAGATTGGCATCAGCGGATACAGAAGGAGGATTGCCTTAGATTTTTGTCTGTTGAATTGAGAGAGGAAGACCTCGGCTCCCCGTCCTACGACCCCAATGAGCCCGTGCTGAGCTTTCCTTCGTCATGCAACGGATATCGTCAGAGCCAGAAACCATTAATCACGGATGTGGTCCCAACTTTTGTGTATGTAAATTAACTAGCCCATGAGCATGTAATCCTGGGTCTTGATAGAGTTTCGTGGATGTGTGTTCGCGTGTGTATGCAACAATCACGAATTGGTCGGCAATCTTATATCCCAAAACAGACTCCAGCTTAGTCAAGTCTTCACCTCTTATTCAGTGCCCTTCCTGTTCCCTAATCCTACGCATCAGCCAGACATAGTTCATATTTAGTTTCCTACATTCGTTCCTCTTATTCAGTATGTTCTTTGTTTTGTTAATTTCAATCGAATCCCTGATCTTCCACTTACCCTTGAAGTCCCCAAATCTGGGAAAAAGTTGGGATTTAGACCATTTATCTGGTGTCCTAAATTTACCACATGTTCGCCACCTCCAATTTCTAAATCCATAAACCTTTGTAGGAGGTTGTGTATT